AGAGTAGGGGTAAGGTTGCGCACATCCTACCCTCCCTAGACCCCACTTGTGGGATTACACTGGGTTGTTGTTGTTGTTATTGTTGTAGGGTTCTTTAAAGAAGAAGGAGGAGGAGGAGGAGGGCTCTTTTGCCATATTGGACAGCCACGTCAGTATGTATATTATATTTAAATGGGACAAGGGCCAAATTTGTCCTTCTACTTTCTAAAATAGTCTACATTTAACCTCTGTTATACTTTGGGGATAAAAATATCCCTACCATTAGCAAAGTTATTAAAAATACCCCTATCTTTAAACAGAATTCCAGCTAGGACGGAAACAAAACTTAAAAATATATTTTTGCTGACATGGCTACTTACGTGGCCATATATTTTATTTTTATTTAATATATCACTTGTCTTCTTCCCCAAATTCGACTTCCTCCATGACTGGGCCTCAAGCTTCTTCTACAACAATTTCAGAGAAAAAAGAAACTTGATAAAGCAGAGATTTAGGACAATAAAATTTGTAAGCAATAAAATGCAATAAAAATAAATGTCGAAAAACATAGATACCGGTGAACTGCGATTTTCCTTACTGATAAACTTGTGCTTAATAGAAGAGAAAATAGAAGACTTACTTTCATCATTGCCATTGTTGAATGAGAAAATCTGACGTGGCACCTTCTCAGGAAGAGTTTCAATTCCCAAAATCTCCTCCTTAAGCTCTATGGTGGAAGAAATCAGAGTATTTTTGGTAACAATATTTTGATTTGGAAATTTTTGGCCATTGAGTGTCTTACTGTCGGAGCTTTAGTCCTACGACAAAGGTCTCTTGAGGAACGAGAGCATTGATTTCTACCGCTGCATTTCAAATTGGTGAGGCTGTAGGGGGAGAGAGAGAGAGAGAGAGAGAGAGAGAGAGAGAGGATAATTGGCAGGATAGAAACTTGTTTATTTTATTTTTTAAAATATATGTAAATCTCTCAAAACCTGAAGCGAACTGAGTTGTGTATTTGATATTTTTAATTTGTAATTTGATGCCTGATTTTGTTCGTTGTGAACGCAGCAGACGTACTTGAAAAGAGAAAACGTACTTGAAAAGATTCTCTCTAAAATTGTTGTAGAAGAAGCTTGAGGCCCAGCCATGGAGGAAGCCAAATTTGGGGAAGAAGACAAGTACTATATTAAATAAAAATAAAATGTATGGCCACATAAGTAGCCATGTCGGCAAAAATATGTTTTTAAGTTTTTTTTCCGTCCCAGCTGGAGTTCTGTTAAAGATAGGGGTATTTTTAATAACTTTGCTAACGGTAAAGATGTTTTTGTCCCCAAAGTATAACGGAGGTTAAATATATACCATTTTAGAAATTAGAGGGGCAAATTTGGCCCTTTTCCCTATTTAAATTGATCTAAACGCTCAACTGGATATCAATTAGTTTTTAGGGCAAAATGATCCCTTTTTTTTTATGGCAAGGACCTATTTGGTATAAAAAAATAAAGAGGGTAAAACTGCTCTATTTTCGATAGTTTAATGGTAATTTTGGCCTTTTTCGATTTAATTTTGATATAAAGTAAAAAACAAAAAAATTATTTAAAAAAAAGGAGAAAAACAAAAAGGAGAAAAGTAGTGTGACCGGGTCGCCAACCTTTTAGGATGAGAGTGGAAAATAGAAAAGGGAAAGTTGTTAATCTTGCCCCGGGTCTCAAAAATCATCACCGCTCTCTGTCGCAGTTACGAAGCGAAACCCTAGGCTGATAACGAGCTCACCCAAAGAGAAGAGAAGAGAAGAGAAGAGAAGATGCTGAGGATAGCTGGGAGGAGGGCTTCGTCTCTATCGCGATGGCCCGTGCGCTCCGCCGCTCCATCTTCATCCGCTTTCATCTCTGCAAATCATTTCAGTTCTGATGACGATTCCTCTTCCCCCAGATCCATTTCTCCTTCTCTCGCTTCTGTGTTTCTCCACCATACCAGAGGTCTGTTTCCCTCTTTATTTTCTTTTAATTCAATGATTTTGTCTCATCCTAAAATACGATAATTGCTAATTCTAATTATGCGTCGGTCTTAGGTTTTCTCGCGAAAGGTTCAATCTTTGAAATTTGTAGCTAATTTCTTCTATAAGGAAATTATAGCTTAGTTCTAATGCAATTTTTATGTTCCACTTTCCACATGGTATATTTTGCGACTTTTATGTTACGGTAGCCGCAAGTGGGATCCCACTTTCTATGTACCGGTGGTATATTTGGTCCCACTGTAGTCTTATTTGATTTGTGTTTGATCTTGCAACATCCATAAGGCACGTCTGTCTGGTTCATTTTATGTTTTCATTTAGTTTCACTGGGATCTCTCATTAATGCTAACTGTGTCGCTCTTTCGTTTTTCTTTTTCACGGGATAGCAGTGTGCCCAGGCCAACTTGGATGCACCTCAGCTATTTAAATTTTAATGGAGTATCTGCTATCTCATACCATCGCAAAATGTTGAGTAATTCTGTCCGTTAAGGCTTAGACTGATGGAAGAAATCACCTAGAATTTTTGCTCCCTGGTCTTCCATATCCAATTCCAGTTTCATTGACAGCTAGGTCACACTTGCTCTAGCTATTTATTGTATCATTCTTAACTAGCCACTGCAGTTATAGTTATTAGTCTCTTACGAGGATAGCAGTGTGCTTGTTTCTTTGTGTTTTCTGCAATCATTTCTGTGCTTGTTTACTTTGGGCTGTACTTATTGGTTGAACTATTCTAGACCTCACCATAGACTTAAGGTGGAGGCAAAGTTTCTATAATTTGAGTTCTCTAACGAAACACTTCTAGTTTATCTTACCGGATGAATTTATATTGGCAAACTTCAACTGCTTTGCAGTTTCAATTGTACAATTTATTAGCTCATGTACGCCTAAAGTTAACTATAACTCCTGCTTCGAAATGTTAAAAAAATATTTATGAACGAGGGAAAACTGAGTTCTAATCCTTCTACCACTGCAACAACAAGCATCTCATCTTAAATGTTGGTCTTTTGGGGTGGGGTTGACGAGTTACAAATTGTCCGTTGCCCTAAGTCTGATCAGATCTTGTGAATAATAGCGCCTGGTAAGGTTATTGGAAGAATTTTTTCATGTCATTTGTTTTAATTACATGCAAACATTCCAAATCCATGGATGGGAACTAGTTGGCTGAGATAGTTAGCCTTTAGTGTCTGAACGATCAGGCTTTTTTTTTTTCCGTCTGATGTTGGCTTGATGTCATTTTTTTGATTTGGCTTTATCCATGATAAATTCTGGAATTTGCTGGTGTTCGGCATCTGTTACTTCTAACAGCTTTTCAATTATTTCAGGGTTTTCATCTAATTCAGTTTCTCCTGCACATGATATGGGTTTAGTCCCAGATCTTCCACCCACAGTGGCTGCTATTAAGAATCCCACATCAAAAATTGTTTATGACGAGCACAACCATGAGCGTTATCCGCCTGGTGATCCAAGCAAACGTGCATTTGCCTACTTTGTCTTGACAGGAGGCAGGTTTGTCTACGCCTCATTGATGCGTCTCCTGATTCTTAAGTTTGTTTTGAGCATGTCTGCCAGTAAGGATGTTCTTGCCCTTGCTTCACTTGAAGTGGATCTTTCCAGCATTGAACCTGGTACAACTGTTACTGTGAAGTGGCGTGGCAAACCTGTTTTCATCAGGCGCCGAACTGAGGACGACATCAGTTTGGCAAACAGTGTTGATCTTGGCTCCCTTCGCGATCCACAACAAGATGCAGAGAGGGTTAAGAATCCAGAATGGCTTGTGGTTATTGGGGTATGCACCCATCTTGGGTGCATTCCTTTGCCAAATGCTGGTGATTTTGGTGGTTGGTTTTGCCCTTGCCACGGCTCCCATTATGACATCTCTGGTAGGATCCGCAAGGGACCTGCACCATATAATCTGGAGGTGCCTACTTATAGTTTCCTGGAGGAGAACAAGTTACTTATTGGTTAAGTAGGTAAAAAGGCTGTACTTGTGGGAAATTGTAGCTGCTGGAACCAAAATATGAACTTGACGAAAACCATATACACATTTCTTTAATTCCTTATGTTCTACTTTGTGAGCTATGATTTTGGATTTGTAATTGCCCACCAGTTCTGGGTAGANACTTGACTAAAACCATATACACATTTCTTTAATTCCTTATGTTTAACTTTGTGAGTTATGATTTTGGATTTGTACTTGCCCACCAGTTCTGGGTAGATCATGGATTTTTGTGCGAATAATTTTGCTGGCTGCTTGCTAAGCATTTTCCAGATTTGCTGGCAATTTGTTTTCTATTTTTATTTTTTATTAATTCTCTTGGCATGAGTCCTGTTTGTGATTTATGAATAATTTTTCTTCTGGAGAGGTCTTCTTTGGTGCACTGTAGTTAGTCTCTGCCTCTCTGGTATGTGAGTTGTTCTCTATGAGGGTATTCATCGGTGCAAACTGGACATTAAGCGCAGCCATGACATGCTGCATATCTTTACCGGGTGGAGTTGGTGCAGACTGCAGGTTGCTGCTAAGAGGGCACTAAGCAGGTTGCGTTGAAGTGCAAATTTTAAAAAGAAAAGCACTACGTGAGATCTCTCTCTAAGCAGTTTCTTGAAGCTAGATGCACCTTCTGCAACTACCTTCCCTTTTTCAATTCTCCTTTTCCGCGTGTTAAAATTTGGAAATCAAGTCTCTCCGTGAGTGGCTGTATCTAGTACCATATCAAAAGCAAATATCGTCACACAAGTTGAACAAACACTGCTGTATCAAACAAGGGATTGAGACACCTGCCTCCAACTTAACTCGGAGCTTAAATAAGGACAGTCTGAACACGCTTGTTTATTCCACAGAGTTTAGTCCCCTGAAGCTTTTTTAAAGGAATGCAAAGCTACGTCTATGAGAAAGTGGCTTCCTATTACCCGAATTTTCAATGTGGCTGGGTTAGAGCTTGGTATTTTATCATTTATGCTTCCTCTCGGTCATACCAAAAACAGATGGAGACAACAGTTTCTACTCATGAAGTTTGGCTAACATTCCTGAACAGTTTGCATTTAATTAGGAGAATCAGTTAAAAGACGATAAAAATACAATATAGTAATCCACGAATCATTTAGAAATGAGAATATGCGGTTGTAATGGCTCCTAGGGCATTAAGTCATAACTAAACCACTGCAATTATAGATTCCTGAATAAGGGCATTGCTATGGCAGTTTGTCATGCCCAAGCTGAAGGGACAAGCAAGATCAGTTTGGCATTGCATTTAGCAGTCATGAACAGGAACTAATGGTAATTTGCCACCATATATGTCAGCGAGTTGGTCATCATCAATGTCTCGTAGAAGAGTTGCTCTCAATTTTTTGTTTTCAACAAAAATAATCTGCATAAATGAATGTTTCAAAGAGAGGAAAAACAATAAAAAGGATCAGACTCATATATCACTCTGTCTATCCATGCTTTTAGCATTATGTTTACACTAAGATAAGTTACAATAATAGTTTCCCAACAGACTTGGTCCCAGAAAGAAGACTTTTCAGACAAAACTGTTCATTAAGTTTTAGAATCTGAGTCCATAACCCGCAACCCCACCCACAAAAGGTAAATATGGATTAAGGAGGTGAAAAGAACCAATTCAAATGTCACCCACTCAAGGGAATGATGCAGATAAATGAAGATACTTTTGAAAGATAGCAGAAACTCCTGTGAGTTCTTTGGTAGTTTCTTTCTTCAAAGTTTAAAGAAAGGAAATATAGGGCTTTTGTTATCAAATAGAATTTCTTTATAAAGTACTGATAAAATCTTCAAGAGGATACTAATTTCACCTTTTTTTTTTGGCTGTCGATAAAGGGTCAATAACCTTTCATGCGATATTAGTTACCTTTTTCTTTGTTTTGCTGTCGATAAAAGGGTAAATAGCTTTCCATGCAGTCATAAATATGTAAGGGACATGGACTATAAATAGCTTGCCTAGCCTCTCAGGGTAGCAGTCCTGAAGTTGACACAAAAAGAAAGATGAGGTTCCAAATTATGATTATATTGGTTAGTTGTGTCTTGAGTGACATGCTGGGGAACGAACCTGCAATATTGAAAGAGCAGCTAAATATCCACGAATATCGCTATTGGCATATCCCCATCCTTCCAGGTCACTAATGGCAACAAACTTCTCTTGCTCATTTGGCATTCTACAAATATATGCCGAAAACCCAAACACCGAATGTCATAAGCTAGAACTTGGAAAAGGAAAAAGAATATGAACAAACAGGTAGACAGGCAAACACAATCCGATAGATAACCGAAAGGAACAGACAGGTCGACAGGCACAGAGAACTAAGATAGACAATCCCCTGCTTTAAGGGGGATGGCGTAATTACAAGGTTAGAAGGGACCCCTTGAGCTTTGCCTGGTTATTATGAGATTGCCTGGATCAAAAGAAATGAGTCCGTGCCATAATGCTGCAGTCTATACTTGTTATCTCAAATTGATCGAAACATGAGAATAAAGTACATGTCATATTAGGTCCAAATTATACACCAGCTTATTCTACATTTGATTAAGGACTTCAAGCTCGAGTTCTTCTACTTAAGGCAGAAAGGAAATATTGTAAAGGGCATATGCACGGAGGGAGGTGGGAGGAAACAGAGAGAGATCATATACTCATAAAATAAAAAAATAAAAAAACAGAGAAAGATCATATGTTTTCCGAATTACCTAGCACATACTTTGTCAAGGGTGTACGTGACTAAACCTGTATTGAAGGATGAACATGTTAGTTCAGTGTCAGCTTTATTTTCCAAAAGAGAAGGTCGTTAGGTTATTGAGCATATAAAGTATAAGATACAGATAGATGATTCAGTTTTTACGAATGCATACGCTGGAACTCATCTACACTTGCTTGCTTATGTCGTCCACCAAATGCAATAACAATAGGGCGCCCTATCTTGTCTTGTCCTTGCATAAACACCTTATTGTGCGCAAGCTCATTTGATATTTCAGAAGGAGATATGCAGCCATTAGGCACAAAGTCCTTTCTCCAGCTCAGGTACTTGAGGAACATATTAGAAGCCTTTTCGACATCTAGATCTCTAGCTCGTAAAAATCTGCAAATCATCTGATCATCCAGACCCTGCATTTTAAAAGCAGAAAATCAGACTATTGATACTAACCTAAAACCATGGAAAACAACATTTAAAAAAATTTGAATAGACATAAGTGGGTCTAACCCCTTTGGGTTCGACCCTTCATCAAACCTTGTGTGAACACGAGATGCTTCGTGCACTGGGCTGCCTGCTACTTATTTATTTTATAAGTGGGTCTAACCAGTAACCAGGAACAAATCCGTTGCTGGTTAGTTTAACACCAAAGTTAGATATGTTATAATCAGGCACAGGTCCATCACTGGTTAGTTTAACGCCGGTGTCAGACTATCGCGAAAAACAGTAGAACCAAAAAGCTGGACAACTCACTTCAGACTGATTAAAGTAGGTTCTATCCTCATAAGTATAAGCAGCAGCATCTTTTGTATCTTAGCAAAAGAAGCCTACTCCTTCCAATCCACAAGCATATAAAGCAGGAAAAGTCGAGAAAGGAAGGGTGGATGTAGGAAATATGTATGATTTGACTGTGCTAGATGTTATCTCAAATAGAGATTTCTAGTAACTTTAATACTGAAAGATTTTTAGTTCCCCTATTTTCTGAAGAGATAATCAAACAAATCTTTTTTGGGTAAAGCATCACGCGAATGCTGTTTCCTTTGCCACTTTTACAACGTGCGGAAGCCAATGGTGGAGCTAAGTTGAGGAAAAATTGAATCCCTTCGTTGAAAGCAAAATACGATTGTGTTTGGTTATATATAAATTATTAAATTCTCTTGACATAAGAGGAAAAAATCTAGTGAAGCGGCAAAGGGCTCCAAAAATTGCTTGAGGTCACAAGTTCAAATCCCATGACTGACATTCTATTGTTTTTAAACCCCTTATATGAATTCTTGGTTCAACCGCTATTACTAGCAAGTTAATAATTTCAAGTTGATTCCTTGAAAAACATGTAAGCAAATCAAATGTAGGAAATGGGCTAATTTTAGTTACATTTACAGACCAACTAACTAAAATTAGGAATTGTATTCAAGGGGAAAGTAGTGCTAGACTGTATGTCCATGGTGATCTGTTCCCTTTCTCTCTCTGTAAAGTATAATTATTGCCATTTTCTGGCCCTAGAATGTTCAGATGCCAAGAGTAATAGTTCAATACTGGAAACATTCCTAAGTAAAGAATTGGGAAGCAGACCTTAGCGGAGGGATCTTCTTTCTCGACAAGGGCTCTCATGATTCCGACTTTACTACGCTCAATCTCTTCAGTTTCCTTATTGCCGTTGTTGTCATAGGAATCAGTTTCAGCATCCGAGTTAGCCGGGTACGGAATCTCGTCTTTGGCATTCTGGGACTGTGTTGAGGAACCATTACCAAAAGCATTTTGGAATTTCTTGCGCAAATACGAGCTCATTTCTCTCTATTTCCGACTTGATGAGAAAGAAAGAAGGAGAAGCAGAGCTAAGTATAAGTACCAGTTAATCAACGCGCTATTTGTTCATTTCATTTTTGTTGAAGCACCAGAATGAGGCCATAAGTCAAGTTAGAGGTTCCGGCTGGGATTTTTTTTTAATTTTTTTTTGGTAGCTGGGAATGAAATATTGTTTATCTGGGATAGACAAGCTTGTTGTCAGTTCACCAATATTCAATTCCTAAACCCATTAGTGTTGCGGCCTATTTTTTACTACTATATACTATATATAAGAGGCTAAGGGGGGGACGAACACTGCTGCAAACGTTGTACCATGTGCAGCTCTAACAAGCCGTAGGAACAAGGGGCTTTCTTGTATAAACTCATTGGGGCTGCATCAGCTAGCCTACCCTCCTCGTAAGCCTGCTACTACCGATACACTGCTCCTAACAACTGAAATGTAGTAAAAGCAACTTCGCTCACCTCTACAATACCCATGGTGCGGAAAATACGATGGTACTTCTCTAGAAAACCCTGCACATCCTCGGTAGCTATGCCACTGAAAGTAAGAGGATCATACTTCTTGAACCTCACAAGTCTCCTCTGCTCCTCCTCAGATTCCTCTGGCCTGACCTCAGGCTGAACCGGAATAACGTGTTTTGCCGGGACGACGTCTGGGACCGGATCAATATGGACCCGCTGCTCTAGGGTAAGGGCCGCGAGAGTCTCCGCTCCTCCGCCAGCCTGAGATGTGGCTGGTGCAAGGGGAATCAATCCCGCCTAAGCTAGAGTGCTGAACATGCTCAAAAACTGTGCTAGGGTCTCATGAAGTCCAGAGGCAGTAACAGGCGCCTCGCGCGCCTGTTCCCCAACCGGAGCTACTGGCGGCTCCTTAGTCGCTGCTCGGGCAGGTGCTCTGGCTGCAGCACGTGCCCTTNATAGAAAGATAAGACTCAGATTTCGTAACCAACAAATTCGCACGATGAGGAATCAAAGAAGTGGAATTTCCGAACAATTTCGCAGCCTCTCTCGAAGATAAGTACAGACATCTTCGTACCCATCTGCATGACTCTATTAAACTTGCTTATGACTCGTAATACATATGAACCTAGAGCTCTGATACCAACTTGTCACGACCCCAAATTCACACCTTAGGATGTTGTGATGGCACCTAGTCCCTAGGACTAGGTAAGCCTAGCATTCATTGATAGCTTAACAGAAATAACAAAACTGAGATAATAGAATAAAATGATGAAGCTCAGAATAACTCCAAAATGGAACATCAACAACATAATCCCCAAAATCGGTGGAACTGAGTCATAAGCTCTACATAATGTAGTAAAATCTTTAATATAACACTGTCTGATAATAGGATAAACAGTAATGAGAAGATAACCGAAGGTGACTCGGAGGCTTGCGGACGCAATGGCAGGTATAACTTGAAGTCCCGCCGGCAACTCAAAATCAGCTAACTAATGACCAGCACGCTCCGAGGTACCTGGATCTGCACAAAAAGATGTGCAGAAGCGTAGCATCAGTACACCACAATGGTACCCAATAAGTATCAAGACTAACCTTAGTGGAGTAGTGACGAGGCTAGATCAGGACACCGTCTAGGACAAGTTAAACTGAACAGAGTATAATAAAGACCAATAACGAAAAATAAGGAAATGAATGAAAACAAAGCAGTACAATAGTGTAGACTAATAACAGAATTTAAAGAAAGAAAGACAACGAGAAGTGAACACATGATGAGAACAATAAGTAATCAATTACGGACAAATATAAGTAAAGATGATGAAGAAAATAACAAAAAACTGTTCAACCAACAAGCCTTTTTAACATGAAATGTACAACAAGAATCACAACCGAGGTATCACGCCTCATATTCATATTCCGAAATTTCAATCACAATCTTTCCTTATATCGCCGCGTGAGCCTTACATTTAGATATATTTGAATACATTTTTTCGAAATAGCTACACGCGCTTTAGCCCCATTATGTTACCGCGTGGCTTCAAGTAATTCCTTTGCTAGCAATACGCACATAAATCCCACCTTATGTCGCCGCATGCAGATCAACCCCTATCCTTATACTGCTGCATGCGCATCAATATCACAACACAATAACATCTCGTACCATATGTGCCCATATGCCACAACTTACCAAAATCAACAATTCCATGGTTACCATAATATATAGCCCACGGCATAACCACAATGTGTACAAGAATCTCAATAATAATAAAACGAATTGAGAAATACTCAACAAGGAGTAATATCTCAACAATTAATAATTTAAACCTCAATGTTATAATGGCTTACACAATTTCAACATCAATATTCCAACAAGAAGATATTCCACGAAATAACAACATCAAGTATGAGTAATTCCACAATAAAGGGTAACAAGACAATAAGAGAGGTAGCAACTTCAACTAAAGTATATGAGAGCAATTTCAACAACAAAGGATAAAACAAATGCTAACAACGTCAATTAGAGCATGCGAAAGGAAATTTATCAATGAAATATGTAACATGTTGTAACAAATTCAATTAAATGCATGGAAAAAGTCTAAAAGTCTAAACTGGTCAAAATATCACATATAGCCCGTGTGCATACTCGTCGCCTCGTGTACACTTCTTCCAAATTGTACAATTAACACAAACAACCCAAATCCTATGGTATAGTTTTCCCCACACAAAGTTATGCAAAATACTTACCTTAACTAGGCCAAATCAATCCTCGAAAATGTCACGCCCCGAAATCGAGGAGCGCGACCGACACTCAACCGAGTGAACCCGGCTGAGCAAGCCTATTAGATTTTCTTCTACCCAAACTCATCTATGAATAAAGAGAATGTATATTTTCATTAATCAAACAATACAGTGATCATGTCTGCAATACCAATTCTTATCATTAGTTACTTCATTTTAAAGTCTCAAATTTCACATACATTTTTCATAGTCTGAAGTGGAATAAGTAATTCAAACACAACATAACTAGTTTGACTTCCCCAGCACCAATATACAACCCACACTATGTCATGTCTACGGAGCCTCTAATAGATACAAAAGAGTACTATGATAATGCCGGCAATAAGGCCCTGGCTATACCTCAAACACAATACACGAGGAACAAAAGATACATGACCCCGAAATGAAGTGGGGCTCACCAAGTCAGCTGGGAAGAGGATGTACCGCTATCACTGATCAAAGTCTCCTGCTATGGAACTACCTGCATCCATTGAAGATGCAGCGTCCCCGACAAAAGGGATGTTAGTACATATGTAATAGTACTAGTATGAATGACAAAACACCCTCTCAATAGAATAATAAATAATACAAACAAGAATATCATAACATCAATGGAAGCTTTAAACAACATCAAACCTCAATTTAGGATCAAGACAGTGTTCAAATTAATTTCCATATCTTACGATGGAAGATTTTTAGTACCAATAATGTCACCTTTCACAATACCAATATTCACATCACCAATACCACCGTACTTGTAGCACGGAGTCCGATCACGACCCGATCGGCTAGGCCATCTCATCAGAGACATCAACCACAATCATAATTTCCAGCACAATCACCACCACGTGTGCGACATGGTATCCAATTACGACCCGATCGTCTAGGCCATCTCATTTGAGACATCATCCCTTTATACCAATCATTTGGTTTCATACCTTTTTCACATCTTTTCATTTCATTGGAACTAGTGGCCATAATTATATAATCATTCTTGGCACATCGGCCGTATTTAGTATTTCATGCTCACCTTTTTCACTTTCTAGCATCTTCATCATCAACAACATCAACAACAATTCAAATCAAGGTATGTAGTACATATGTGAGCAATTAAGAGTCTAAGGCACATAGAGATTCTTCACAAAATTTGGCATAATAGCCTTCGTTTGAACTTGACTTGAAGTCGAACATTTTTAATGCACAACCCATATTTTGAACACATCCTCAATTGATAATGATCATGCCTAACTATGCCTTATAAAAAGGACTAAGCGGTTGTCACAAATATATTCCGGCTAATAAGTCCGGAGTCGAATCCCACAGGGAATTAACCTATCAACCACAACTGCTAGACTCGCACAAATTCACGCAATCAATCTTCAAAAATATTTAAATAATAATTTGGATGTTTATTAACTAAATATTACGTAATGAAAATGCAATAATAAATAACTAACTACGAACAATTTGTAAATAAGATTTGGAATGATCTAAGGTTGTGATTTCCCCTATTGTCGGAATCTTTTCCGCTACGTTTTCTATAAATTCTCCTAAGTCTTCTCAATCGATCATGAGCACTATGACTATCGTAACTCTCTCCCCGAGTAATTACCACAATTTACTAGACATATTCTCCCGAATTACGCTAGCTGGCATTAAGTACGGCTTACTCAGATCGCACCAAAGTTTTGTTATCCCTAATCCCACCTTTAAACGCTTCGTATTTATCCCTCATATACGTGAGGAATGATGTTGTTCAACAACTACCTAAATATGCACTCTCTCCCGAGTAATACATACTAAATAGGCACATCTAATTGAGGGCCCTTCAATCAACCACATGAATAATATAGTTGAACAAATAGAGAAAATACTACGACAAATTTATATTAACGTAACAAGAAAATCATCCTTCAATAAGTTCCATTAAAACCCTAGATTAGGAATTTAGCTACTCATACTCATAGTAATAATATCCCAAATATTTTGCATAATTCAATTACAAAGTAAAGATGAAAGGATGTATAAATCGATGATTCTTACTCCCAACGGTTGATTCCACAAGCTATTCTTGCCTCTGGTTGCAAAAGTCCTCAAAAATGGCATTTTTAGGTCTATTTATATGTGTAGGAAAAGACCTAAACGTGTAGGCAAAGTCCTAGTCAAACCCGGAGACGAAATAAGTCTTCAAAACTCGGACTGTGCACGCCCAGACCTGGCCTCGCGAGGCCTAACGCCTGGTGGACCTCGCCCAGGCCTGGCGTCGCCAGGTATAAAGCCTGGTCAATCTCGCCTTCTGCCCCGTCTCGCCAGGTATAAGGCCTGATCTAGGCTTGGCTTTGCCAGGTATAACGCCTGGTGTAGGCCTGGCTTCGCCAACTTCTCCTTTTCAACTGCTCTCGAGCATGCTTTCGACTTTTAAGTATTCCTTTTTCTCTACTTTCATCTCCAATTCACCTACATATAAAATGGACTTCATTACGAGCAAATAA